GTTTTACGATAGACCCCATATTTGAGGAGGGGGCTCCTTTCAAAGTGGAGGTGTCTGGACATGCAAAAATGCTTATAACAAACTATTAAACATAGAAGCTTCAAATTTCTTTTGTTGTTTAGCTCTGATGAAGCTCTATCCATCAGGCCCACTTAGAGCCTGATGGATAGAGCTTAAGAAGAGCTTAAGATTTTTTTTGTTGTCTAGTTCTGATGAGGGGCTATCCATCAGGTCAACTCCCCACCCCACCCCACCCCCCAATGGATGAATTGCACTTGCAATTGAATAAAATGCACCTGTTACCAGCATTTGCTATATTATTCTCTTGTATTGAACAATGATTTGCAAACTATTGCTATGTATGTCTCTATTTTTAAACTAAAACTGAAAGAAAATGTGTTTTCATGAAACATGACAGTAGTATAAAACCTTTAGTTTTGAATTGGTGCATAAATAAATTCATAAAAAACAGCATGCTATTCATGCATAACTTGAGGAGTTTTACCAGTTGCACTGCCTTTAAATAAAATACCCATTAATTATTTTGTAATCTTAAAGCTTTTTTCAAATATATTAAACAGCTTTAACCTCACCTTTTATCCTTTTAATAGATCTGTTTTGTTTTTTTAAACCGCAATGCTCCCAAATAATGGGTGATGCTCTGTATGACCATAAAGACAAAATTGTCACATTAAGGTAAACAAATAGATGATAAAACATTGATAATTTGTAAAACTGTTGTGTTTGGAAGTTAAAGTTTTACCCTGATTTTGTTTTGTCAGGTAAACTGAAAACAGTCAATTATTTTGATATTAATAACAAAATCTGATTTTATTGCTTTTGAGCAAGAAACGGGTTATGTCAGGACAGCAGAAAAACACATACGAAATTACTGGAATTTAGACTCAGAACTGCATAAAAATTATAATGATATTTATAATTTAAAATCTTTTTAATCTTTTATTTAATATCTGAAGTCATGGTAATTTTATTTTGAAATGTGACCCGAAAATGATTGTCTGTTCGTGTTTTCTCAACATGATTCTTAGAATGAATGCTTATTTTGTGTTTCTGAAGCCAAGTTAAAGACTGTTTGATGTTTTTATAAAAATGTCCAGACTCCAGAGTTTGAAGGGTTTTATCAGCCAGCGGCTCTCCGCAGCGCTGGACGACATTCTGGGACATTTAGAGAAAACGATCCTGGAGTATGAAGAAGAGACGGAGCGTCGCCATCGGGACTTTCTGGATGTGATTTTAACAACTGAAACGACGCACCAGAAAGCAGGTTTGTTCTTTTATTTTGAGAAGCATGTATGCTAAGCTAACGTTAGAGTGTAATAACTCATTAGCAGCACAATTGATAACAAAATTTTGCATTTGTGGCAATTTTAAACCACAGTCCTGTGTTTTAGGGCCCAGCTCAGATGTTATGAAGCTTTTATAAACTTTACTTCAATATTCTATTTGTCTAGGAGTTATACACATTTGGTCTGGACTTCATGTTCCCCACAGAAACTTGGCTTCCTCCTGGTGAGTTATCTGTTTTTTCAGAAATTTTGCCCACAGATTGTTCATTTTTTTAAATTCCCAGGCAGTCTGGAAGGGGTGGAGGAGTTTTGGGTGTTTTTAAGAAACTCTGGAACTGTAGACTYTTACAGGCAGCAGCTTTTCAGACCTTAGAAGTGCTGCATTTTGAACTGGGCCGCTCCAACCCCTTGCTGTGTGCTGTGATCTACAGATCACCTAAATCCTCCACAGGCTTCATCAGTGAACTCTGTGACTTCCTGACTGGAATTTTCTTGCAATATGACAGGGTTTTGATTGTAGATTTTAATTTGCATGTCTGTTGCCCTGAGAAACCTTTGGTTTATGATTTTCTAAATCTGATTCACTCTTTCAACCTGGTACAAAATGTTGGTCCAACTCATCAGCAGGGCCACACACTGGATCTAGTTCTTTCCCATGGCGTGTCTGTGTTTAACCTGGAGATTGGTGATGCAATTGTTTCTGATCACAAACCCATCTCATTTGAATTATGTCTTACTCGTGTATGTAAAACTCCCGCTCCAGCCAGGAGCTGTCGTATATTTAACCTTTCAACCGCTGCTCTTTTTTCTGCTGCCTTCAATTCAGCTGATACAGTCACTGAAGCCTCTGCCTGTGTTAGAACACAGGAGCTGCTCATTAGCCATAATGAGACCCTCACTGAGATCCTAGACCTTGTGGCAAAATCAGGCAACCAAAAATGTCAAAATACCCGTGGATAAATGAGATCACCAGGGCAGCGAGACGTGTCTGCTGGAGAGCTGAACGCAAATGGAAAAAGGACAAACTCCAGGTTTCTTTCATTTGGCTAAGAACACGTCAGAAAAACTACCAGTCCACAGTCAAATCAGAAAAAATATACTTCTCCCAAATCATCACTTTCAACAGAAACAACCCCCGCTTTCTTTTCAACAAAGTAAATTCCATTCTCAATCCCCCCCCACCCCATCAGCTAGTATGGAGGCCTCTGCTGACTCGTAGCAATTTCACTAAATTCTTTGTTGAAAAGGTGGAGTTGAGGTGTGGCTCTTGGTTCCTGTGGGTGGTCCCCTGGCCGGGGTGGTTGCCAGGTTCCGGGGGGTGGACGGCTGGGGGGGGGTGCACTTGGTCGTTGGCGGTGTGGTGGGGTGGTCATGGGTGTGGCTTCTCTGCGGCGGGGGGCTGGCCGGGCGTCCTGGTGCGGCCCGGGCCGGGCCTTTGTTTTCTGCTCCTCTCCACCTCAGAATGATTGGGTCTACCTCCTGGGTTTGGGTGTGTGCTGCCTCCAATAGGGGGTGGGTGCATGTCCTGGACCTGGGGGGTATAGAGTGTGTATCGGGGTTATGAGTGGAGTGTGGCGTCCTTGTATATCTTTGATTGAGTGGGGGTGAGGATGAGGGTGGTGCGATTGTGTATGTTTGGGTATTTGTCAGGCTGCGGTCTGGGC